GAAAAAGTTAAGTAACTTATTCAAGGCCAGCCAGCTAATAAGTAGTGATGGCAGGTTTTGAACCCAGGTCAGACCATCTTGAGAGTACACACTCCTAGCCATTTGCTGTACTGTAACAGGGGACTCTGGTAAACCATAACAGGGACAAAGAACTCCTTTTCTGGTGCAAAAAAAAAATAAATGCATTATCCTTCTTTATCAGTAAGAAAGGAGCCCAGATGGCACAATGGTTAAGAGCTCAGCTGCTAACCAAAAGGTCAGTGGTTCGAACCACCAGCCACCTGGTAAAAGATGTGGCAGTCTGCTTTCACAAAGATTACAGCCTTGGAAACCCTATGGGGCAGTCTGCTCTGTACTATAAGGTTACTATGTGTCAGAATTGACTTAATAGCAATAGGGTTTATTACTCAATATCTACCCTGGAAAACAGAAACCACGCTAGATCTTTCATAAAAAGCAATTTCATATGGAGTGGTATTGGTGATGGAAGAGCAGAGAAGCCAAAAGGGAGGTGGTGAGGCAACAAAGAGATTATCAGTAGCAGAAGCACTGCCACCCTATGGTTATAAGGACAAGAAAAGAAGGTGATTTTACCAGACCCCAAGAACTTAATCCATTGGGTGAGAGCTAGAACTTGGAAGAAGTGTGGCCAATATTAGAGATGCCATAAGAAGCAGAGGGGATGGAGGAGACAGACTCTCGCTCCTCCCTTCCTCTGTGCTCCAATAGTCTACCAATGCCTTCCACTGGCTGAACAAGTCAGGAAGCCAGAGGGCAAGAGATCCCTGGAAAATTTAGCTCTCTAGGAATCAGAACAGAGCATGGAAAGAATGGATATGGCTCTGAGGGCCAACTGGCGGCTGACTGGCAACCACCTTTCAAGAATATGAAGCCTTTTGTTTACAAATATAAGTTCAGGTTGAAGTTTGATGAGACTTCATGCAGAAAGAGTCTATTTCAACCTGTGTTGTTTAAATGTTGCCAGTGATTCTTATGATATAGCTAGTGGAGAGATCCTGCCCTTCTTTCCAAGCTCTCTTCAAGAAATGAAACTTCCTTATGAATCTGTTTGTACCTCCATGTTCTCCATTTTTCTATTCCTTTTTTAGGCCCCTTGCTATAGATTCTCAATTTTTCTTTTCATAGAGTTTTTCAGTCACTAAGTCCATGCCTGAGCCAAGGTTTATTGTTGACTGCTCTATTCGGGAGACAGAGAAAAGACAATTGACAATTTTATGGGAGAAGCTAGCTAAATAGTGTCCCAAAGTGTTCTCTTTCTCTCTACCACTAACCTACAGCTGCTAGAAGTTTTTCACTTCAAGTAACACTATACCTGACTAAAAGTAGCTTATAAATGGAGGTTTTCAATAAATCTCATATTATAAGAAATCCAGATGTAGATGGTTTCTCAGTTTGTTAATTTAGCCTTTCAAAAACAGCAGAACACTGTGTTAGACTCTATTGTCATTTCCTCATGGTTCCAAAATGGCTGTCACAGCTCCAAACATTACACCTTCAGATATCCACGCTTATGTCCTCAGAAGGAAGGTTGGACAATCTACTTCCGTAGTGATGCCGCCTCGGAAACCCAAGGAGGGGTCTCTATGAGTCAGGGCCGACTTGACGGCACATAACAACAACAACATGTTGAAAAACAAATAGAATAGAAGAGGGTTGGTACTCCTGAGTCTCTCTCTTTTTACATTAACAAAAATTGACCTCAAATGCTTCTCATCAGACTTCCCTTATGTCTTCCAGACCTGGGTCAAATTCTAAACAGGTTCCTGGACTAATAGTATGGGAAGTTAGGGCTCATCCCTAGGGCTGGGGTGGTGCCTACCTTTCTCATCTGAACAAAATTAGTGCTCTGTTAACAAGAGAGAAAAGGTGGTGTGGCTGCTGGGTAGATACCCTCCAGGGATGACCATCAGACTCCTCTCTGAAGATGCATCCACTCCCTCTCCTGACCTTGGGCCCTGCAAGAGATGGTGGGGAAGAGAAAACTACTCTTGTAAAAGACTTGTAGGGAAGCCCAAGAAGAGAAAAGAGTACAATGTAACTAAAGCTTCAACATCCAGGTAGGGACAGCAGGAAAAAAGCACAGGGTAGAGAGGGGGTGCTGAGACCTAAGCCCACTCTCTCTATCTTACACCTCACTAGCTCAGACCGTCCATAAATAGTTGTAGAATGAATGAATGAAGATGATTAAACCCGAAGTGAATGAGTCCTTTACTAGGCAATGGCCTCTCTGCTGAAATGTAAAAGCAAATTGAGATTCTGCTTGTGTTCAGTTAAAGTCACCTCATTTCACAGAAGAAAAATGCCTTTGATTATATTCCCAAATCCAGGAGCTCCTATGCAGTCCTTTCATAAGTAGCCCTGGTGGCGCAGTGGTTAAGCCCTTGGCTGCTGTGGTAGTTCGGTTTGGGTGTCAACTTGGCTGGGCCTGGTTGAGTGGCTGGGCAGCTAGTGGTAGTTAATCCCCATGAGGAGACTGGCAATCAACTCCAGGGTGGGATCTACCACAAGCAGCTGGGTAGCTGCCTTTGGGATGTGGTCTGCTTCCTGTATATAAGGAGAAGCCTTGGG